CCAACTCTTGAGATTCTGTGATTCTGTGAAATGCACAGCCGGTCTACCATGACCAGTGTGCTTTTTGATGTAAATGAAGTAGATGGCACCGTACATAAGAGGGTTTGGATGCCCACCCCATGCCTGACTACATGCTCTGGGTGGGAGTGGCCAGGAGGCGGAGTGACACCCTGCTGCTGCTGTGACTTTTGCTATATGTATCCACTTTGTCAGCTGTAAAGCTCCTTGAACAATCACAGCACTCTGCTTGGAAAAAACATCTGCAAAGGCAATGGTATCAGGAAAGAGCTGTAAGCTCCATCATACTGTTTTTGTAATATATATTAAATATTATTTGTAAGTATCTATTAAACTATGGATTTATACAGTTCAAGTGTATGGAACCTTGAATAAAAAAGCATAAAATATGTACTTAAGTTCATCCTCAGCATAAGTATTTTGATGTGAGGCTGCCCCTAAAAAATGTCATTTACGGGGTTATTGCCTTCTGCTGGGGAGTTCTGGTTCTTGGACAGCAGCAGCAGACCGTCAACTCCTACTAATAACTGCATTAGTAAAGACAAAGGAAATAAATAGGTATTTCCTGGAGAAGGATACTAGGAAGAAGTAGGAGACCAGACTAACTTCCTAGACGAAGGTGGCCAAGTTATTTAAAGGATTCAAGTAACAACAAAGAGAGATGTCTTAGAGAAGATACACAGATACTGAAAGAACAGTGCCTGTGAAAGGTGACAAAATCCAAGAGAAAGCAGGACTGCTGTGCAGCCACCCTCTCTGTGTGCACAGACAGTGAAGGTGGGTATGTCAAGCAGCAGACAAAGCATAAGAAGCTTTTAAGGACAATGAAGTTTGACAGACAAGAATGAAAGGAAGACACATCTAATAATAGTGTGTGTTTAACCACTTATCTCTCATTAAGGAAATAAGCAGCTCAGAAAATGGTCATAGTTAACTTACAGCAATTAACAGTGATGTAGTACCTTCTAAGACACTGCAGAGTCAGCATTTCGAGCACATACTGTGAGAGCTTTGAGTGAATGTTTGATGTGGGCCCAAATCTACAGCAGAAGTTTCCAAATATGCTTCTCCCCTTGTGAGCTGGTTGTTTGGGAGTGTTTTAGAAGGACAGCATTTCAATGCTGCGCATATTTCTGAAACAGCTTGGTGAATTTATTTCTGACTGCTTGGCCAAATGGTCTCAAAAATTCTTTTACTAGTTTTGCATGGTCTACAAGTGCTGATCATAGATCAAGTCCTCCTTTTTTTGGGGAGCTGAATACATGTCAAGACTTGAGCACATCAGTCTGGAGTTCCAGACACCCAAAAGCTAGAGTTTGCAATATTCACCACTTTTAAGTTGCTCACCATTGCACTTCAGATGAGTTATGAGCAAAGTAATAACTCCACCTGCCTTCTCTCTGTGTCTCAAGGCACCAGTGGAGTTGGCCTGAACTTCACTCTGGCTTAAAGCTGGAAGTGCTGGCAGCAGCCGACTGCCTTTTTGTCTCTTCACTTCTGGCAGCACTGTGCTGCTGGGTTGTGGCCATGCGTAGCCCGTGCCACTGCCACAACCTGCATATACTCTACCTGGAAATGGAAGGGTAAAGGGGTTTTGGGTGAGAGAGACAGGGAATCCTGGTGAGTCTGGAGCTTTAACTGTACTGCTGAAGTCAGGGGAGCATGGACCTGTCTTTTTTTTTGTAGGGAAGGTTCTACCAGCACAGCTCAAAGTTTCCTGGGAGTCCCAGAAGACTATTTGATCATTTATTCTGACTCTCCTACACAAAGCAGATTATAATATTTCTCACGGTACTCTGTGGAGAGGGTTAGGTCACGGCTTCGGGTAGATCTTACGCTGTGCCTGTTCTCTATCTTGGAAGTTAAGATTTTGTACCCTATTAGCAGAAAGCAGAGGGTACTGAGGGGACCACTCATACCTGGAAAGGGACACCTGGTCAGTCCCTGAGCAGCTTGGAGCCTGTGCTCCATCAGGGCTGTATTCCAGAGGAGAGGAACCACAGAAGGGCCCCTTGCTCCCATCCTCATTGGACAGCCATACTGCATCTGAACATATGGCACTGCCTTTGCCAACAGTTTCTCAGGGCAATGAAGAACAGATGTAGATGGGGTTATTTTAATATATCTGTTGCTGCAGTCTTTTCCCTAGATGATCTTTTCTTTTCCATTTGTATGATCTGGATAGCTCTGTTTTTCTGCTACAAAGGCCTGTACAAAGAGAATACCCGAATGAAGTAATTGGTCTCTTCTGCGCCTCAGTCATGTCCCTTGGTGTGGCCTTAAAGGATGCCTGCAGGTGACTCAACCACCCCAAAGGGGCATCCATTTCTTGCTGCCTCTGCCTACCCAAGTGTATGCCGTTAAATCGCGGGCCCTACAGCAGGTTTAGATCATGCTTCACAGCTAAGCAGTAAGTAACTAAAGCTTCAAGTGTCCTGCTAACAGAGCGTCACCCAAGCATAATCCAGGCCCTGACTCAAATTGACAAGGACAGGTTGGCCTCTGAAATAATCTCTTTAAATAGCAGCAACCATCTCTCTCAAAGGCAATTCCCTCCCCCAGCCCGTGCTGGAGAGCTGCCTACAGCACATCAACCACTATTTCCCACCCAGGCATTGCAGGCCTGGCACTCCCCACAGGCAAGTGTCCCCCCTGCTTGCAGCCTCTCAGCTCTGCTTTGCACCAGGAATTACAATGAATTTTGCAGCACAGTTTCTCTACTCCAAGGTGTTAAAAAACAGAAGTCCCAGGGACCGCTTCAGGGAAGATGAAGACTACGATCCTTTCTGGCAAAGGTTGGAGAATATTGCTGTCTGACTTAGAGCTAGAGCGCTCCTTTCTTCCACTCAGGGGTCATGGTCAGCCCTCGGGGTCCTCCCAGGGCCAGGCCCATGGACATGACAACCCCTGGACCCCTCCTGCCTCCTTATGGTATCGTAGTTGGAGTTTTGCTTCACCTCGTTGTTTATTTAGTCGCTGTGCTGTATAGGTAATGCTTTCTTTTTCCTTTCCTTACTTTCTAAAAAAAAAATGAAACTATAATTTTCTGATATCTCCCAGAGTTCTGTCGTTCTATTGCTCTTGGGGTCATCCACTGGGAGCAGTGGAGCTGTGAGTATTTTAAGCCTGTGGATTTCAGCTTTTTCACTTCTTCATGAGTACAGTATTAAAAATAACCCTAGACAGGCCAGCGGACTGCTGAAAATGTATCTTGGGATAGCCTGTATCGGATCCTGTAGTTCTCTTTGTTATGGTGCTTATGGTGGTCTTCAGTTCCTGTTTTCAGGCTTGGATGGTGCAGAGGAAATTTAGGAGACATCTAGTGTCCTTGCATACCACCAGCTGGGGAATGTCCACCCATGTGACATAGTTGTGTTTTCACTGACTTGCCCTTAACCTTGTCTATAGTTGTTTACTCCCCCAATTTTATTATCTGGACACCACTAGCAAGATCACAACCTGGTGTTGACAGATGTGGTACAAACAAGGGGCAATTTACATTTCCTGCCTTGTGCCGGTAGTCACAGATATTGATAATATTTAAAACATAAATTGCTTCAGTGGGCTCAATGCTGTTAATAAGCCCTCATGAAACACAAAAAGAGAAGATGAGATCCCAGTTTAGCACTGAAAAAATGGCTAGCCGAAGTCTTACGTGGTGTATTATTTCCTGCAGCGAACTGAGAATCTTAAACCTCCTCTAGTTTGGGTTATGCTATTTGTTCTTTATTACAACTGAATTATGGAGATGTGTTAATCACCAGAGAACCTGTAAACTCAGAATATATTTAACTTAAAGAAGAAAAAAGTTTAATTAGTTGAAGAGTTTTAACTGCTAAACTGAGTATAGTGTTGGATAGTGATCACTTGACGTTCACAGCTATAAATGTCCTACAAGAGCGGCTTAGAGGGATGGATCTGTTTGAGGACACCTTGGAAGGTGTTGAAGCAGAGGTTAACCAAGAAGAGTGACCTTCCAAGTTCTTGCTTTCAGATTACTTTGTCTCACATTAGCTATTCAGCAGCTGACACCCAGTTGCCATTGCCAGTGGTAAGCAATGACATTTCAGTAGTGTGTACAGAAGACTGGCAGCAGATTGCGACCACAGATAAAGTCAGATATAGTACTAGGCTTAGGGTCTGGTAAATCTGACTTACTGAGGAGATATTTTATCAGAAGTGATAATGCAGTGTGGTTGTTCCCTGCATGAGCCTGAGCTTTCTTTGCGTTTGTTGCGGGAGTACCATCACGTGGTTTGGTCAGACCTGTATAAGGTGAGTAGAGTTATAAAAGCCTGCTCAGTCTCAACATTGGGTTGTACCTATCTACACTGGATGGTCACAGTGCGTATGTCCCCTGACATACAGGCTAGTAACTAAGCCCTGATCTCTTCGTCTTTCAGACACTCTGATGAGTAGCCCTGCTACGAACTTCCTGCAGGAGTCTTAGTCAAGTCACTCAATCTGTCTGTGCCCCAGTTTCTATCAGTAAGGTTGAGCTGCTATTTACTGAATTTGTCCTTCTGTTTAGTGAAAGGTGTTGGTGATTCCTATGTGATTTAGGAACAATCACTTTGCATAGGGTTTGGGTATCTAAATGGCAGAGACACATTAAGTTTCCATTCTGTAATTGCACTAGTTGGATTGATAGAGTCTCAAACGGTTGTTTCTAACTATGAATGTTAAACAAAACAATGGTAATTTGAGAAAGTAATGTTTGAGTGCAGCATTGTCTTTGATGTGTTTTAACTGTACTGTCATAGACGGATCTAGTGCGTTCCATCCCCATGCCTGGGGGAGTTTACTTGTCACCCTGTCCTACTGCGGAGGACACTTAGACACCATACAATGCAATAACCTAGAATTACTACCAGTGAAGGTGACATCTGTCGTGATGCTTCTTGCCATTTAATAACTCAGCAAGCTTCAGTTTTTCTATCATTTCTCTTTCGTAAAGATGTGCTTGCAGAAGCTGCTGAGATGCTTTTAAGAATTGCTGCTGTTGCAGCATTCGGGTGTGTTTGGGGAGGGAGGGGGGAAAAAAGAAGAGGATTGTGGGGGTGAGCAGGGATTTTGCAAAAGGAAGGGAGCTCACAGGGATTTACACTGCCAAATGGAGTTGCAGTGGAACAGGAATGTTTAGGAGTTATTGGGAAAGGGGAGTGCAACAAATTGGGAAGGTATCAGAGGGCTGTGGAAGGCTCAGGCATCTGAAAGAGTCAGAGAAGATGAAGTTGGGGACATGGAATAAGCAAAAGGGCCCTCTCTGTCACATGCTGAGATTACCTCTTTCTCACTCCTTTAAGAGGAGATTCCAGCCCTAGTCTCATCTCAGTCAGAAGCTGAGCAGACTGCTACCTGCAGCAAGCTGCTTCCTTCCACCTTGCACCTCCCAGTACATGGCCCGTCTCTGCTCAACACCTTGAGGAATGAGGTAGAAGTGACTTTAAACAGGTCACTTTTTGCTGTAATACCCCTTGAATTTCTATCTGTGAAGCAGCACAGTAATACTGGAACACATGTGCGTAATTCCAGCTTCATTTCTGCCTCAAAATGCATTGTTGTGACTCATTTTGTAAGACATCTAAAAGCTGCCAACTGGGCCCAAAGCTGACATTGGGTACATAGGCAAATAAAAATGGCAACACTGGGTAAGACCAAAGAGCTGTCTACCTCTGTGTCTTCTCTGCAGTGGTGGCCAGTAACAGAAGCTTGGGAAAAAAGAAAAGCCAAATAAGATGCTTTCTCTCATATGCTCTCGTGGAGCCTGCCAAGTGCTGAGGGGATTCCTGAATCACAGGTTGCTTCTTGAACCATGTATTTATTGGTCACTGTTAGACTTACCTCCCTATAATTGTACAATTTTTTTAGGAACCCACTTATACTATTGCCTTTCACAGCATCCTTTGGCAATTTATTCTGTGAGCTAATTATTTTTATAAGAAGGGAACTTCCAAATTTTCTACCTGATACTTCCATATAATATAACCCCTAACAATTATACTGGGACAAACAGTGACTAATTCTTCCCAGCTGGCTATTTTCTCAACATCCTTGACTTTGTAGATTTTTTTGCTCCTTCAGTTTTAGAAGCTGAAGAGAACCCAGTATATCAGTTTAATCTGTTTAGTCCGTTGCCGCATTGTTCTGAGGAAGCAAATCTGCATGTGCTCCATCTGTCAGGGACATGTAATTGCCTCATCATTGCAGGATAACTGCATGGGTATTTCTTTCTCTCTTTAACAAAGGCAACAATTGTGGTTTTCAGGTATAGTATTTGCCACTACTGTATTTTATTTTCCCTAAATTATTTTTGTTGGTTTTATTAATTTTTTGGTGCATTAATATTACTGTTCTTCCAAACTTGTTTTCCTCAGTGCTATATAACTTGATGAAAATTATCAGTAGATTTTAAAAAAATTAGAAACAGAAAAATTATTCATTCCAAGTTGTTGCTTTTTATCATTCCAAGAGTACATTCCAGCATACACTCTCTTTTCATTGGCTTTGAGACTTCAAACTATGTAAAGCTATCTGCTTAAACAAATGACAGTTTTTCCAGTTCCTTAATTATTCATGGAATGTCTGCATATGGATCTTCTCTTTTATTTTTTGCAGTTATGCTGAGCAGCTGTTTTTGAAAAAGTAGGTTTATAAACTGTTTTTTCATGTTTGCTTTTACTAATCACTTTAAAGGTAAAATGTAATTTATAACCATGTAACAAGGTTTGCCAGCTGGATATTTGTTTTATGGCTGGAAATAAACAGACTTTTTAATGAAAACTTTCTGAGACAAATTCCAAAAAAGGAAAAGTGGTTCATTTGAAAGGAGCAATGTTTTATAATGCTGGAGTTTGTATTTATATTGGCTCAGATTTTCATCTGGTGGGCACGATCACTAGCACAGGGGCCATACTTTGTTGCTGTGTATGAGAAGTCGCGTGTTGTCTTTTTGTGAGCACTTTGGGTGAGAACTTTGAATGTTCCTGCAAAAGAAATTGCCAAGCATATGAAATGTGTTTGAGGAGAGAAATGCATGTGACCCAACAGGGTTATTGGTTGCCTCTTTGTGATGGACTGTCAAACCTGAACCCACTGTTTACTTTGAGAGTTTGAGAGCTCTCAGTGGCCCTGTAGCACACCCAGGTGGGTATAACAGGGAAAAATGTCATTGGCTAATGTGAGTTAAAAATATGTCGATAGACGGAGAATAAAAATTCATCGGAAATAAATATATACAATACACACATATACAATAGCACAATGATATTCCTTTCGTTATGTGGCTGCTGACCTTTCAAATGCAAATGGATGATAGATTTCATATTAAATGTTGAGATGGTAAGGTTTCAGATGTGCTTTAAACCTATCTCAAGGTTGAAAAGCCTAGACATATTTTTCATTTGGTTGGCTTTTGTTCATTTTTTCCAATGGTCATAAGGTGGTGTCTCCATCAGGGTTCTGAGCAGATAATCACTGTTCATCAGAGCAGTACTGCAGATCAAAGATTGAGAATCTGATTTACTTCTCTCCTTTGTTCTTCCAAAAACCCAATAGAAATCCAAGAGTAGGGCCAAAAATCACTATCCCATATCAGTCGCTCTATTTGCAGTTAAGAAAATATTTAATGACACTAGTGTGATGGGGTGTTACCCTGTAGTTTGTACTTTCTAGCAGAATCCTGGTTCATCAATGGACTCTTTGTGGTCATCTTTTGCCAGGATTTTTATAGATTTTTGTAATTGAATGCAACAGATGCAAGGGAAAAGTGTGAGTTTATCTCCTCTCTCAAGTGCTTGTCAGTAATTAAAAAAAATTGCTTAGAAATATCACAAGGTTTTAATCTACCTATATATATTACCTCACATATACCCTTTTAAACCATTGCCAAAGTAAGGAATATCATTAATTCGTAATGCTTGCTAAGCATTTTAGATTAGATAATGTATTTAGAGATAAGATGTATATGTTCTTCTCTTTTTGGAGTGGTTATGGGCTACTGTGATATGGAAAATGTGCTGGGGTCGCAGAGGAACAAATTCCTAACAGAGATGTGACCTCCAAGATGATAATTTCTGTTGTTTATGCAACAGTCCTATTTGGTTCCCAGAACCATGGGCTCCGTAAAAAGTTCAGGGGGAGACAGTCCGATTTGATTCTCGTCTTTACATTAAGCTAACTAACATGCATGAGAACTAACACAGAAAGCTTAACATCGTCATGAAGTGTTCCAATGCCCTAACCCCAAACGAGCAGAAATGTAAAAAAGCATGGAAAGAGCTACTTGATAAGGTATGTAATTTGAAGACAGAATGCCTGCTATTTGGGTGTATCAATTTTAAGGTACACTAATGGGAAAATATTTTAAATCACAAGTGTCATACAAATGTGTAAATATTTATTTATCTTAGAAAATTAGTGTTGTACTCAGTAATTCTGAAGAGAGAAGACTTGGCTACAAAAACTGTGTATTTTTTTTAGAAAATTCTTTCTTCCAAATAGATTAATATTGAGTCCTTTATGTAGAAAGTAGCCATCTGTGTAATCATAGCCACAGCCTGAGGTTGGTATCAGCTCTTTTCCAAATTGCTGATCTTCTGCTTGATGCTTCTTTTCCCCCACATTACTTTCCAAATTCCAAGAATTCCGAGAGGTTTTGTATTTATCTGTTAGGAGGGCTGCAAAAATCCTACACTGTAGCAAATTATCCCTTGTGAACTCCTCAACACTGTGGACCATAAATTAGGACAGTCTAAGGTACAAAAATTGGCAATACTTGTAGCAAAGTGTTGTCTCTCCAAAGTTCCTTGGGAAAGGAGGTTTATGTGGCATCATGGTGTTGTCTTATCTACAGGTGTTTTTATCTATCAAGTGTTAGCTTGCAGATCAGGAAACCTAGTTCTTTTGCTCTTTATTAGGCTATAATTGTTATCCCTTATCAAAGTTACTTCCTTCCTGTCACGAGGCAGCTGGCAACTGTTAAGAGTGTGCTCTGCAAGCACGCAAGAACAGTGAAGCAGACCTCTTGTGTACCATGTAATGACATTTATTACTGCTATTAATAGTATAAGGTAATGGTCTGCAGCAGCTATTTGCCTTTTTGGAAAAACATGGAGTTGCATATAGGAAATACAATTCCAGTTATTCCAAAATTTCTGCAGCATTTAACTGGGATGATAGATGATGGAGTACTTAGGAAGGTCTGGCTGCCCAGACAGCATGGATTATGTCTTTCTTATTTTCTTGGGCATGACAGTTTCCCAGTTTGTCCACATGCCAGGTTATCTGTGGGTTTTCTAAAAGCTGGCTGGTTACAGTAGCTTTCAATCCATCTACAAGAGAGGTCATACGACAGTAATAATTCAGTCTGCCTATTTGAGGCTTACAAAGAGCAACTGAGATGTGCATCCTTCTTAAATGCTAATGTCAAGCCTTTAATCATCCAAGCTTTTCTAACAAGATTCTTTTATTTGTTTTTAGGGATGACAATAAAATAAAGAAACAAGATGCCTCAGCACTTTGTGATCTTCACTGTTGTAAAGATGGGCCAATAAGAAATGGCCTTATTGGGCAGAAGCCACTCTCTATCAACCCTGAGAGACTGAAAGATTTTGGTGAGGAGGATTACCTGAATGGGGATGTGAAGACCTGGGAAATGAAGATAGTGAGCCGTAACGAGGAGTTACTTAGGGATGCCCTTTCCAGCATCCCTCAATCAAGCAGTAGCACCACCCTGTCAAGCTATAACAAGCTGATTCGATTTGAAGATATTAGTGCAGCAGCTTTCAAAATCCAGTGCGGTATTCAGAAAACCCCCTGCATGGTAGGAAGTTTATATGGCTTTACATTATCTCAATATTTTTTTTTTTTAATAAAAGTTGATCAGAAAAGAATTAAGAGTATGTGTGAGTTGCAGCAGATAGATCTAAGATGACTCATGTTCATATTAGTTGGTGCTAACTGTCAATAATAATTTTCTTTTTACCTGTTTGCACTAACCTAAATCATCAAAGATTGCAGTGACTGGTAAACAAAGGATAAACCACATTAGGCATAGACATAATGCACTATGGCATTGTGCTCCCCGTGAAAAACTCTCGCTACAAGGAACCTGAGTTGGAGATGGCAGACTATCAGTGTTTGGGTAAGCAGCCTTGTGGGAGGGTCTGGTTTAGAACCAACCCTCTTATTTGGAGTGTTTGAAGGTACAGATTTTCCTTCCTAGCATGGCCAACTTGGCAAGGATGTTCTGTAACCAGGTGCGTCCTCCAAAACGAGGACACTAAGATAAACACACACAAGCATACGCACCTATCAGTCAGTCTAGGTATGAAAATGACTGAGAGACTCTCATAAATGTACAAGCATTTGCTAAAGCATCAGAGCAGTACAGTGGCAACCTATTTAATTCGTAGTGTATTTCTACTCTCTTCATGAAGGCTACTGTAGGCACTCTGTGGCTAATCTCCTCTTTTCCCTGCAGTGGGTGAAAAGAGCGTGTCTGACAAATGGAAATTCATAGCAGCAGCCCCAAATCACTCTCTTGATGAATCCCTCCCTGTTGCTGACCTGAGGCACCCCACTAGCATCACTGGCTGTGGGTTGTCTTTCTGCCCTGCACAGGGAAAGGACCCTGGTGCCTGAGCCACTGCTTGGGTTTTACAGTCCCTGGAGCAAAGTGGTTGGGTTCACAAGGCACGGAAGTTCTGCTTCCCAGATGGTGCCTGCTAATCCAGAGGTGGCATATTTACTTTTGGTGGTTTTTTTAGCTTAGAGTTCCCAAAATAAGGATAGCTGTGTTTTTTGTAGATGCTACTGAAGGACTGTGTCTTGTGACAAAGGGCATGAGACAAGACAATTTGAGGCTGTAAGGTGGCACAAAAAACTTGCAGGGCAGTGTTGGCTGAAGTGTAAGGAGACAAGTTTGACTGAATGCATCTTGCACTCACATATTGCCTGTTGAGAATGAGTCGGGAGTAAGACATCCTGCCAGCTGTACCTGGATTTCCTTTCAGAGTGGAAAAGTTCGCTTGCTTGGGAAGGTGGCCAGGGGAGTGAGCAACCACATGTGCAGCGCTGGTGGTCGGGGGGGCAGGGCCTGGGAGAACAGAGGGGAGTGTACCTAACTTTGCACATTGCATTGTTTGTCACCAAAACTCTGAGACTGCCATGGTTGAGAGTTCAGACAGTACTCTAGGCAGAAGTGTCCCTCTTCTGCTTTTGTGGAGAGGCTGTCCCAGGCAGAGAAGATTTGCATTGATATTGCAGGGAGTGAGCACTACACTTCTCTGTAATTGACAACTCTGATCATATTTGTCAAATGGGTTTAATCTTGCTGTACAAAAGCAGGTCTATGGGCAGGGAGAGGGAGTGTGTCAGGGCTTCACTTGGAAAGCAGAACTAGCTAGCTCTGTGCCCTTTGATAGCCTGGATCATCCCTTCCCTGCTGCTCATGGCTTCATGCACTTCTGTCAAACTAGTAACCTCTGTCTCAGCCTCATCCTCTGAGCCATGCACTTGCTCACAGCATATCCCAGTGCAGGAAAAGGCGAGACCGCACCACTGAGTCCATCTGCTGCTTCTGCAGCCATCCAAAACTTTCTGTGAGCAGATGATGCTCCGGCTCACAAGTAGTTAAGCTCTCTTTGGCCAATTCACACCATTTGTTCTCAGGCAGCTCTGCCTCGCAACTTAAATAGTTCTTTTCTTTTGGGTGTCCCTGGCAGATTTATGAAATATGGTTGTACCCCCTTTATGCATTTACTGTGCCAAGATAAACAGGCAAACTTTTAGTCTCTTTTTAAGAACTATGTTTTTGAGATGATCAGAGTAGTGGAAAACCTATATCCCTACTTGTTTTAGTGTGAAAACAGCCCATGACTTGTTATTCAAAGTAATGCTCCTGCAGAAGTCTTTAGTATATGTTTCAGGCACTGTTTCAAAAGGAAAGTATTGAAAGCACAGAGTGGTGTCAAGACAAACACAGATAACCTTTATTGTAACTCATCACTGAGATGTAAGAGCCCCGTTCAGGGACATTTGTTTGGATTAAAAAATCAAGCATGCCTTATAACCCATTCAGTTAAATGAATGGAGTAACAATTTGCAGGGTAATTCCTAATCTGCAGGTAAGACCATGGATGGAGCATCCTGTATCCTTATGCAGGAGTTTGCCTGGAGCTGAGATACAGCATCATGAATGACTGTAACAGATGTTGCAGAGGTAGTGAGTACAGGGAAATAAGGAATTAGCATTAAATTGGGCACTTGGTTTGGTTACTGACGTGGGAACTTCAAGGGTTGTTTTGTGTTAGTTTTGTGGATGCCAAATGGAGGCTGTGCTGTGTTGTACATTGGACACAGTATCTGGAGTCCTTAGACAAGGTCACAGGGACAAAAGAGAAAACTTAGAAGCAGGTTCAATGAGTCTTACAAGGTCATGCATCAGGTCAGTACAGCTGAAAATAGCACTGACACTTCCTTTGTTAGAAGTAATTGCTATATTTAGGCTATGTGAAAAAATCCTCAATTAAAGGAAGTGGAAAAGATTTAAAATATTGAATATCAAAACTAAACAAAAATAATCATCATCTGAAGTACACCACCTCTGTGTTAAAGAGTGACTTAATGACACATACTTTTAAATGTAAGAGACTTAGAAACTTTAAAAGTCATAGGATTCATCTCCTTAAATCCTTTTCCTCATTGTTCACTCTATAATCCAAGTTTTTATACAAAAGCAAAAGTGATAAAACAAGTGCAGTATGTGAAGAATCAGTAAAGTGGTGCTTCTTGTCTAATGTTCTTGTTCTGTTTTGCACAGGCATTCTCCGTAGATTAGGCTGTTTAGGATAGAGGCTATTATCCTATTAGTGTGCTAAGCACTTTCCATTCTTTCAGTTCTGCAGCCGCATTTGCAAGGGAGAAGAAAGTGGTAGCTGCTATTGCAGCATTTTCAGAAGGGAAATAGAGAATCTGGCCCCACCTATGGGTGAGGAGCTTACTTTATGCTTGTAAATCCACTAAAAAGCCTTGAAACATTAATCTGAAATACTTAGTTTAACTGTATAACTTAAAGCAAGTATCTGTTTCAGATATACTTAGTTTCTATAAATTCACTTTGAAAGTCCCACAGTTTGAAAAATGTCAGTACATATTTCTGTGTACACTATACACCATGTGTATGATGCTGCCAGATACTTTTTGAGATAAATATTTAAAATATGTTGTCATGCTGTCTTTTAATCAGTCTCTCTCTTTGTGACTTACCATAAATGAAGGCTTGATCCCCTAAATCCTCAGGTCCTCATTTGCTTTGGCAGCCTATGGAAGAAACAGAGCCAATTACGAAATAGAGACACAGTAAGCCTAGGGAACCCATAGGCTTACTGCAGCTCTATTTCATAAGTTAGCTTATTTAAAGCTCTTCTATGGACTTATAGTAATAGGAAATTAATATGGTGATGCATGCTGTGACTGTCTTACTATAAAAATTGATAGAGGTTTGCCATTTAAAAAAATTATTAAAAAAAATCATGCACTTGGACACGGTATTACATGTCATATGCTTGCTAATGCCTCTCAGCTCAGGGATCTTTTTTGTTCCAAACACTGAACATTTTCAAACAGCTGCTGCTTACACTTGCAATCCTGGGAAATAATTTTTATTATTTCCATAATTTTTCAAATAAGGAATGTCTTTACTAATGTCACACTGGACTTAAAATGCAAAACGGACAATATTCAGTAGTGAATCAGTGGCAGAAACCATAGCAGAGTCATAATGGAACTCAAAGAGGAATCTTCTGATTGCTTTTGTATTTATTAGGAGATCACCTTCTTTTTTTGGGTATTCAATATCGACCTCTGGCAAGTGCTAAAATATCAGACCACAAGGTGTTTTCTGGAATTATTGAAAATACTTATTTTAATATCTATAGATGAACAGTAGGTCCAAACCACATGTTATTTTCAGAATTCATAATGGCATGAGGCACATATTTCACTGCTCTGAGTTTGAAAATTACTTCTGTAAACCAGAAGAATCTGGTGGGTAACAACACACTGTGATGTATTTCTAAAGAAACAGATTATTAAATTTACTTTTTTGAGCTCATGGAATGAGCAGTGGAATGCATGCCTCACCAGGGAGCTGATGGGGTATGGAAGCTTTTTCTTAATTTTAGATACATCCCCATAGTAACATTTCTATCCTCCAGTATTCTAGGCTATCCAAGCAGTATGGAATGGACATCTACCTAAAGAAAGAGTTCCTCCAGTACACAGGATCTGTGAAAGAACGAGGTGTACTTTACCTTCTGATGTCATTGCCTCAGGTATAGCAAAATGTCATCATTCAAAAAGAAATAGATGAGTTCTGCTTCACAGAAATGGAGCAGACTTAAGGATAGTTTTACCTATAATGTCCATGGAATAACAGTGTTTCTTGCCTTTTCTGAACCATTGTACTGAACAACATAGATAGGTATTCAAGTATCTGAATGTAAGATATTTTACTTCTTTATTTACACTTGGCCAGTTTGCTGGTGAAATGTTTAAAAATATTTGAAAGAAAAGCTTGCAAATTATAAACATCAGCATTTTTTTCTGTGGCATTTAGATGGAAGTGTTTGTATGTGTACTATGGTTCTGACATGTTGAAACCACCAAACTTTAAGTGGTGATGAAATTGAGCTACACTGGGTGATGAGAAGACGATTGACGATTGACAATTGACAAACATCAATTGATTTTGTAATTCTTTTCACTATCATTACATGAATAGCTTGTTTATTTTTGTATTCTTCTAATAGCTTGTTTATTTTTGTAATTCTTTTCACTATCATTACATGAATAGCTTGTTTATTATTTGCCATAGAAAGTTAATGGGTCTCTGCAGCAATAATAATTATAATCATCATAATACAGCAGCCCAGAAGCAGTGGTTATTCCTGCACTTTTGTAATAATTTTAATAAATCCTTCTACTAAAGAGAATCTGGAATGAAATAATTTCAGATATTGGCTCTGAGGGGCCTGATGCTGGCTTTTCTGGGATCAGCTAATTTCAATGGATCAAGAATTTAACTCAGAGGAGTGCAGGAGCAGAGACTGATCTTGTTCTGTCTTAACTCTGTGTGTACATCCTGAGATCACACTAGTCATGCATATACTGTACTGTAATATCATAATATGATCAGCTAGTAGACAAAAAGAAGGAAGTCAGACCATGAGAACAATCCAGGATGATATGGGACAAATTTGTGATGCGATATAACATGCAATAAGCATCCCTGTTTTTTAGGATCAGCAAAGAAAGGGGGTGATCGTGACTTCAGACAGTAACTTTCCCATGGCTGTTGCTTATCACGCCTCAGAGCTCCATATTCCAGTGTTTGTCATCATGTCAACCAGCACGTCCCCGGCCAGAGTGAAAATGTGCCGTGAGTACGGTGCCATGGTTATATCCTATGGCACTACAGCTAAGGATTCCCAGATGCATGCAAGAAGGTTGGCGCAAGAGAATGGTTACCTCTACCTTGAAGAGTAAGTGGAAAATTAGGCTGTTTAGAAAGATTAGATGAGATACTTGTGTGGTTTTGCAAAAACAATTTGTTTCATTAAAATTTGATCACAAATTATCAAAATGTTCCCATTACCTGGGGTATGGACAGTTACATATTCCCAAGCACAAATCATGAATCTTTCTATAACAGCTGGGGGTGTGAACCAAAAATGAAACACTCTTGCCCCCAAATTAGGCAAACTTTCTGATTAGGAATTATATGGGCTAGTATGATAATGGATATATGTTAACTCTTTATGAACCCTGTCAGAAAGCATAAAGGCTAGCATTAATTTTTAGTCTCTCTGTTTGAAATAAGGTGGTTAAAAGCTAATCTTTAATGCAAAGGCTTCAGTGGCATAGTGTAGAGAAGGTTAATGCTGTAAAATTTTCACATATCTGGAGTGACTAACAAAACTGTGACTGTGCCTTGAAAAAAGATGATTAAGAGGCTATTTCGCACATATATTTAAAATAGATAAGGTATAAATTTAAGTTTTAACTATTTGAGGTCATTGAACAAGCTGGATATAGTAAAAATTATTATTAGAATAAGATAAGACAGGCAAAAATATTTAGAACTGATCCATTTCCCCTTTCTTTCCTTCTCTCTCTGCTGTATATTCTGCCTTTCCCTTCCCTTTTCTTTTTTTTCTTACTTTTATTCAAGTAAGATTCCAAAAGTGCAGAGGAGTGAATCATTAGCACAAGGAAGCTGTTCACCCCTCTGATGCACTGAGCTGGAATGTTATTCTCCCTTCCCATCGCCACCTCTGTGCAGGCTTTATCCGCCACTTAGTGTTCGTATGGCTCCTACTACAGTGAGTGCCCATGCCCCTTTGGTTCCTAGGCACTGCTGCATTAAATACAGTAATAATAAGTAATATCGCTTGGAAAGAAAATCCCAGAACAAGCAGTATAGAGAAAGTCCTCACTTCTTTCCCAGTTGGTTTATTGGGAAGGCAATATTAAAAACTGTATCCTTCAACTGCACTGCTACCTTTGCCAACAGCAAGTGCCCATGGGGCTGGTTGTTGTGCCTTCTCTGTCACCATGGGCACAACCTTGTCCCAGACTGAGACTTTCAAAGAAATTCAAGAGAATGAGGTGTCCTAGATCCTACTGAATTTTAAACACTTTTAGGCTCTCTTTGAAAACCACAGCTTTCCATATTCTGTCTGTCATTTCACAGAAACACAGAATGTTAGGAGTTGGAAGGGACCTTGAAAGCTCATCCAGTCCAACCCCTGCCAGAGCAGGATCACCTAAACCAGGTCACACAGGAACATGTCCAGGCGGGTTTTGAATGTCTCCAGAGAAGGAGACTCCACAATCTCTCTGGGCAGCCTGGTCCAGTGCTCTGTCACCCTCACAGTAAAAGTTTTTCCTCATGTTCAGATTGAACCTCCTATGCTCCAGCTTGCACCCATTGCCTCTTGTCCTGTCATTGGCTATCACCGAGAAGAGCCTGGCTCCTTCCTCCTGACATTTGCCCTTTACAAATTTATGAACATTAATGAGGTCACCCCTCAGTCTCCTCCAAGCTAAAGAGACCCGGCTCTCTCATCTGCTCCTCAATCATCTTTGTGGCATTTTTCCATTGATGTGTTTACTCCCATCTAGCTTGCATCAACTATCATATTTGCACACAATAACTAAATTATTTTATTGCCATTTCATGTTTAATCTTCCCCTCCTTCCCAAATAATTACATAAAGTATATATTCTGCAGGTTCATTAAGCTCCAAGGACAACACATGTGAAAGACTTTGGCATCTAGCATTGAGAAACTCTAAACATACACATTACCATTAATAATATCAAAGCACTCTGATTTATTGTATTTCAAGTTATAAGAGTTATTAAATATGTTACTATGTTTAATTAAAACCTCACAAATGCAGTTTTTCATGCTTTGGAAAAAAAGACCAACAAACAACGCACTACAATTATAAGCCTTTTCATAATAGGATGCCTAAAACGTATTTTGTTAGATGTAGGCCAGTAGAGCTTTCCCAGAGATGTATACATATACGGACAGCCAGACTTCTTCAATGTGTGTCTGAAACACATTCATCATCATTGCCAAAGCTGTCTGTAAAACTTCATCTGATCTCTTATGCTATCAAATGAAACTTCTGAAACGTCATTTTATTACAGTTTAATTCTAGCTTGCATAAAATAGCTAGCAATTTGGCCTGTGGATCTCCTTGACCAACAGTTCATTCTTTCTAAGTAGACATTGCATGACTGCCTTTGGTTTTACCTGCATGGGCAATGTACTGTAGCTGAATGTGTCAGTGTCAGCTCTTCCCATTTCTTGAGTGCAGTTAAAATACTGTGTTATGAAAATGATCATGCAAGAGTTCAATTAGAGGAAGGAAACTTTTTATCCAGCTGCAACTTCTTATTAAATTCCAGGAAGGAAATGTGAATTTTCTAGTTGGAATTCAGTCATGAAGTCTACTAACTGCTGCTTAGGTAACATGGGATTTTTAATAACTATAATTGTTCAGGACCTCATTATAAATGCCATGTGAAGATTGCCAATAAGTAACACAGTACCTCCAAGATGATGTGAATGATTGATTTGTGAATCAGAGAGATTGAATTACACAGCTTCCTTCCTTCCTTGAGAGTCCAGTTTTTTTTGTGTAAGTCCATATCCAAATACTGGTCAGACCTGAACCTCCTTCATTTGTGATCTGGGTAGACTCTAGGAAGGAGAGCCAATAGCTTTCGAGTCCTTTATTTGGAGAACAGAGCCTGCTAGGTATCACATCAAAATTTCATTGGGAAATTGAAGGCTGACAGCCCATCTTTGATTGCTGATGTGTCACACATTTCAAAGGACAAATGGCCAGATTTCTAGCTTTGACTCAAAAATACTTGTTTAAATCTACAGTCTTTAGATTTATCTGCTGTTTTCCTTGGTTGACACTCAGTGTTATATGATACTGAAAGAGAGAGGTTTTTTTCACAAAGCAATTGTAATCAGTCACAGTGCAAATAAAATAACCCACTTTATTATAAACAGCTGAAGGCTGACCAGTGAACTGGTGCAAATAGCAAAGAAAACATAACTATCTGAAATATTCATTCAAACTGCTAATAAATCTCCATGCCCAGAGCAGTCTCCTTTGGGCAGAATTTTCAGTTAAAGAAGTTTTACTTGTAAACTGAATATTCCAGATCTTCATTTGTTTCTTCAGGTCCCCATTGTTTCCCATGTAACCATGACAGGGCTAACGTGCAAACTCAGTTCTGAATCTTATTTGCAAATGATGCTCCAGAGGAATCATTCCAGACATCAGTGATGTATTTTGTCACACATAAGATAGAGGAGAGAGCTCCTTCAGTATCCTGATAAAGGCAATAAATTCAATGCTCAGTTATCCATTCCACCATGGTTTCTTTCCTTCATCATTAGCTGTGCTACAGGAGAGAAAATTAATTTCCCCCACCCTTTCTTGTATAGTTATATAGATTCTTGCCATGAGGAATTTGCTGTGTTTTGCTGTGTATGTGACATAACCACTCAAGAGGGCCTTGGTCTCCACTTGGTAAGCATTCTGTGCTTCTGCACTGAGCCCCTCTGAGCATGTCTAGCAGTACTAGAAGCCTAGCTTCCTAGTACCCAAACATCTCAGGTATATTAAATCAAGTGAAGTAATTGGATCTGTAATTCTGTTTGCTTATCCGTTTGCCAGGAAAAGCAGAATATACAGGCATACAGAGGTATCATGTTTTTCATTCATACATCATTCTACATTTACATCATTGCTGACTTTTAAATAAAGCCCCAAATGCATTTATAAATCAATTGTGCAACAGTGGAATTTCTTCAACTTCTTTGAGTCTGTTTGTCCCTATTCTGCTCATTAAATTACCTTTGCCTGAAAGTGTTTTACCAGTGAGTATTTTGGCATGACTAAATGCTTCTTTTATCCTTCCAGAGTTTTCCAGAGTAATATGAAGGTATGAGATACTGGCTCTGGATTGTGGAAAGACTTAGCTCTGTAGCAATCTGTTTGGTGTTTGTGAGGTTGAACGCGGTGCTTAAATTTCCTTAAAATCCCCATTTATCACAAACACTAAATCCACTTATAAATACAGAGGAGGAGATATCTTTTTGAGACTTCGCTTTCAGTTTAGACTGCAACATTTAAAATTTATGAGGCTTAAGGAAGTGACAGCAATGGAATCATTACTTCTGTCCTTACCAGCTCTGTAAACAGCTGATATTGGTAACAGCAGTGCTCTACAGCCTGAAGGCTATTTGGGAGGAAATTGTCAATGGCACATGTTTTCTCCCAGTAGTTAACATCACACTTCACACAGTACATGATGGTCTGTCTGATGGCAGCGTCCAGTTGTATCGTCTCCTGCCCTTGCTGTGCTCGTGATTCGCTGTCACCTGTATCTTTTTCTGCTGAAGGATTTCTTCAGAGCAGTAGAATGCACCATTATTGGTTTGACAACTGTGAGCCTTGCTGAGCTGTGCCCTTCCTTCCTGCAGGGAGGACAGTGCTGTCTACCTGTCGGGCCTGGGAACCATGGGGCTGGAGGTCTACGAGCAGGTGCCAAAGCTGGACGCAGTGATTTTTCCTGCAGGAGGCCACTGTGGCTTGCTGGCAGGGTCGGCTGCTGCACTCAAACACCTCAACCCACATATTGCTATAATTGTAAGTTTCATTTCACCTGCAGAGTGTTGCATTTTGACAGCTTTTATCACAGATATTTTCAAAAGGCATTGGAATCTAGTGATACACTGGCAGAGACTGGGCTTCACCTAGCAGAAGTGTCTCTGAGAGCCTGGGAAGCATCTTATTCCTTGGCTGCTTGGCTGGGTTTAAGAAATAATGGGGGAAGACTCTTCCAAAGCAAATGAAATCCAGTTCTGTGTTTTGAAATGATTTCTTATGGGAAAAGTCTGGCCCTAAATAAGCCACAGGATAAATTTAGTGATAGCATAGTTATTATGCAATTTAAAATTAATTGTTAATCCTAGGAGGAAACTTTGTGTAGCTTTTTTGGTGACTACATTGGTGGTGACTTCTGTTATAACTTGATCAATACAAAAGTGTCAACACTTGTCTTCCCCAGGGGGTTGAATCTGAAAGTTTCCCTGTACTGCAACAATCCTTAAGGGCCGGCCACCCAATTGAAGACCAGGCTTTCAGCAATCATCACTTCTATGGAGGTAAGAAAATGGATTATTCTTTTGGAGGTAAAATATGTTTGAAATTGATTTCTCCAACTATGTTTTTTTTCTCATTAATTCAGTTCAAACATATTTTAAAGGAAACCTCTGAAGAGTCAGAATTTAATTCATGATATGAGAGCAACTTCTGACACATTTCATGCGCATGCACACACACACATGCTGGAGTGCAATACTATTTCCAGTGCATATGCAGTATTCAGATGAATACTTAGAAATATGAGAATATTTATCTGACCATTGTGTTCAAAAGCAGCATCTTAACCAGTGAGGTCAATGGGAGAGCTCTTGTGTAAATGACTAATTTGTGAAAAGGCAGGAAAATACAATGCTTAAATATTTAGGCTCACAAAACTGCTCTCAGAACAACAGTGTTTATAAACAATACAGTTGTTTCCACGTCATTGGCTCAAAAAACCACACCTGTTAAGCAATTTAAGAGTATCCTGTTTACCTGATGGACAAATCTCTGAAAACTGGGTTAAATGGGAGTTTTATAAACTACTTCATAACTCTCTGGCAAAGCTCTGCCTGTCTCTGCACTCCTTTGCTAACTGTCCTATTGTAGCTAACAAACCAGATATACTGGGTTCTTTCATTCAAGCTTCATTGAGCAATGACAAGTGCTGGGCTGCAGGGTCACTCTTGCAGTGAAACTATGCCAATGAAGAATCACAATTTTCTTAAAGGAATCTAAAACGGCAAAATCTTCCTGGGAGATCTGGTCTCTTGTTACCAAACTAATTTCTGTCATATAAAAAATTAAAGCAACTTAAGTTCATATAACAGCGGTGTGCTGCACTTATTAGGGACACAAAACAGTCAGGGCTCTAAAAAATGCTGAACTTGTCTAAAGCAGCCAGCTTCATATTTTTCTCTTTTGAAATCTGCAGATGTGAGCGGGCTTTGCTTTGGCAGCAATTCTTTGCAGCTTACTGGGAAACTTGTGGATAAAGTTGTTGCTGTGAGGTAGGTAAAAAAAAAGCAGTGAAATGAATAATACCAGGTGGACATTGTTGTATATGAAAAATGCGCTGTATCACCAGGATGTGGTGGTTCTTCACATACAGTGGAGAGCAGGTTGGCAGAAATTGCCATCATGCCCACACTGTGAGAGCATGGTGGTGCTGGGATGCCTTCTCTTCCAAGAGGGGTACTGAAGACACCAAACCCAATCCCATGTATCATAGAATCAAAGACTATTTCAAGTTGGAAAACACCCCTAAAGGATCATCAAGTCCAACTCCCTGTTCCTTGCAGGATTACCTAAAATTAAATCATACGACTAAAAGTGTTGTACTGTCCCCTTTGGCCACAACTTCACCTGCTGATAGTACCTGGTCATGCTCTAGGTGTAAAACTTGTCCTTTTTGCATTCTGCAACACTTGAAGACAGCCTTTGACAAAACCCTTCTAAGTCTTCATAGAAAGACCAAGTTGGCAGAATGTACTTACCACTACAATTTAGCTAGCACAAGGGTTCTAATAAAAAATGCCATCCTGTCATTCAGCTAATAACAAGACTGAGGTGCACATTCACCCCGAGCAGCACAGCTTTCTGTAACACTACCATGGGATCATATGTACCTGAGAGGATTAAAGGAATCCACTTATACATAAATTATCTTCTGCTTTTGGTAGCTCTTTTGTTTTGACACAACTCTTTTGCCTTCAGGGAGGAGGACATCCTCATTTCGATGCTGAGATTGCTGGAGTATGAGCGAGCCATGGTTGATGCAGAAGGGGCCATTGGACTTGCAGCGCTGGTTGCAGGGAAGCTCCCCGAGTTGAAGGGTAAAAGGTACAGCAGCTATTGCAGAGAACTGTGGCAAAACCATGGGGTTTAGTGCCTTAGTCCCAGGAAACGGAAAGAAGAATATTAAAAACTGTATCCTTCAACTGCACTGCTAGCTCTGCCAACAGCAAGTGCCCATGGGGCTGGTTGTTGTGCCTTCTCTGTCACCATGGGCACAATCTTGTCCCAGGCTGAGACTTTCAAAGAAATTCAAGAGAATGAGGTGTCCTAGATCCTACTGAATTTTAAACACTTTTAGGCTCTCTTTGAAAACCACAGCTTTCCATATTCTGTCTGTTATTTCACAGAATCACAAAATGTTAGGAGTTGGAAGGGACCTTGAAAGCTCATCCAGTCCAACCCCTGCCAGAGCAGGATCACCTAAACCAGGTCACACAGGAACATGTCCAGGCGGGTTTTGAATGTCTCCAGAGACGGCGACTCCACAATCTCTCTGGGCAGCCTGGTCCAGTGCTCTGTCACCCTTACAGTAAAAAATTTTTTGAGTGACAAGGCAGTTCCTGCCCCTGAACTGGCTTATCTGTGGCATGTACTTCATGCTTAGGAGACTACTCACAAGTCAGAAGACCATGCTGAACAAGACAAATGTCAGCCTGGAGACTTGACAAATCTTGCCATTTTCCTGTATTCTCAGATGGCTGGGGGGAAGGCAGTTACACACAGCTCCATGAGGCATGGTCACATCTGCCAGGAGAGCATCTTGCTCTTCTCAGCCTGTTGCCTTCTCTCATTCTGCATGTAGAAATCAGCCCTGTCTGTGGTGGGACAGGAGCTAGGCTGTCTTCTGCAGTCACTCAGTGACACCTGCCTATCAGCTACGAGAACTCCTGTCCAGGTAGTCAATGGGATTACCCTTGTGCTTGGTATTAAATGTGTAGGTAAGTGCCTTCTTGAATCTGGGCTTGAGCACTCAATACTTAAGTGGATTGAGCCTTGGCTTCAGACATAGTCCAGAATGTATATAAACATACGTGCACTCAGGAAATAATAAAATTTCTAATGCACAGCATGATATGCTAGTTCTTCAGGAGAGGCTGACAGAGTACATATGGGGCAGCAACACATTTCAATTCAGTACAGCTGAAATAAAGGGGAAAATGCAAAGATTTGGGTTTAAAGAGGTCAAGTTTGACGGACTAACTATGTGGCTCTTTACTTGTTCTTCAAACATTTTTGCACTCATTTTGCAGAGTTGAGATGGATTTAATTACTGGTTACAGACAACCTTGGACATACATGTCTAACCATCAAGAGGCTGAGGACTCAGAACTCCCAGGGGAAAATGACTTCACGTTTTTAAAATTTGAAACAGACCTAGAGTTCTCCAGCTATTTATCTCTAACAGAACTAAAATCTCCAGGAAATGCAAAATGAAAACAAAGTTTCAGACCAACTAATGCAGACAGCTTCTAGGCTCCCACTGCCTGCCCACAATTGATGCTGAGAGTCAGGATCACCTCTGATGTGTAATACACATTTATCAAAGGACAGTCCTAGCAGATCATAAGATGATATTGAGTAGTGTCTGTGATTTATGGTGCCTTTGTGCAGTCAAGTGCTAAACAAAAGTCCTATTTTTCTCTCTGTTTTCAGAGTGGCAGTTGTTATCTGCAGTGGAAACCTGGAGTTACATTTGCTGCAGCAGTGCATAGCACGTGCCCTGACCCTCGATAACAGAGTCTGCAGATTTTCGCTTGTGCTTTCTGACTGCCCAGGAGACATTTCAAAGCTACTGGAAATTTTGGCTCGAGAAGAAACAAGGTAAATCAGACTACTAGAAGGGAAATATAACCACAGAATAGCATAAAGATTATTGAAGATTTGGACTTGTATCCAAATGTTCTCTGAAGGCAAGTCTGTAACTAATTAAAGGGCTTTTTCTTATTATGTTTCAGAAAAACTTTATTTCCTTCATTTTTTGATTCAATGTGAAAGTACCTTTGCAGCATAGAGTGTCTGATACAGAAAGCAGCAAAGACTGCTACTGTCCAAACACTTACAGAAACTATTTTACAACAACAAGGATTATTGTTATCTCTAATTTATCCCTCATTTGATCTAGAGTTTTGGATATCAAACAAGAACGCACATTTGTGACAACTGAACTCTTCACTGTAGAGGTAAGATGAGATGCATTTTCAGTTTCTCTAGCAGTGCCTCCCCTAGTTTAGTCTGTGTTTCTGTATCTCTGTATGACTATGTTGAAGAAGTCCAGTACAGTGTGCACAGTGATTTGGGTAGCAGTGTGATAGATAATTCTTCCTGTGTCAGACAGAGCCTTACCTCACCAAACACTTGTCAGGCATGCAAATAATTCAGAACCTGTTTTACCTGCTGTTGCAACACTGTGGGTGAAATACTCCAGCTGTTAACGTTGCAAACCTTCCTTACGTGCGTGCGTGGTGGTGTGGCAGAGGTGGCAAGCAAGCCGCAGCATCCGTCCAGAACCTGAAGAGCCAGCTGTGTGGGCTGTCTGTAATTATCCGAGATCAATTTGCCTTAAAGCAATGTGGAGAACACCCTTACCCATAAGGAATCATCGTTTTTTAACTAGGGCCTCAGTTTTGTACCTTATCCGCAAAGAGCATAGAGCAAAATCCTTATTCTTTTGCTGTGTATTTGGTACAGTAACAGTGAGGAGGTGTTATCAGTTAATGGCATCTCTTAAAAGGATCATTTGTCTCATGGCATATCTCTTCTTTCAGCTGGCTTGTCAGAGGTGTGGTTCCAGTGATTTCATGCTGGCTTCTACTGTCCAGTCAAACCTGACATAGTTCGTGAAGTCATGTTAGGGACCTTTGCTAAACAGGCTCATAACTGGAATTCAATAATGCTACTGAGTAAGCACCTTCTTCCATTTTGTCATTTCAGTCTAATTTCCCACCTCTATGCCAAAACCTGCCCAGTATTTTCACTAGTGGATATACAGAATAGATTAGATTAAAGATGATTATAGCAAAGGACTACAACAAAGTTCATTATTGTCTTCCAGATCATGATATTATCAGTTTTATCAAGTGTCTAGGACTACATTGACATTGTTTCACAGTGTGCTGTAATGATAGACCAGCTTACTGGCTTGGGCAACTTGAAGATAATGTGACACTGCATGGGGTAGACAAATGCCTCTGATTCAGCAACTAATTGAGCTCTGAAAAACCTTCTTACTGAAGGCTAGACTTGACAAACTTTGTAATTATTCTAAAGTTTTTAATGTGATTTTTATGAAATAAGGCTTGTATTTTTTATTAATGCTACTAGGTAAATTAAACAAAAAATCCACTGTCTTGGTTTTTGATTGAGAATGTTAGAATAATCTTCTGTTGCTCTTGCAACCTCTCCCAAAGAGGCAATTTTATCAGAATCTGTGGTAAATGCAGTCCCTGAATGAAAAAGTGGCATGTGTGATTGTCTGCATTTTAAACACAGTGTATTTTCACTGACTGTCCACTTCAAGAATCTGACAGTGTTGTACCACAAGAGGAAGGAATTTGTGTTCCTGAATAATTTAATTGGATGTAGGATTTGCATGATGACTTTTAATCAGTCTGGAAGAGGCTGTTGGATAATTAGATGTGAAGTACAAAGTAGTGATCCAGACTTACAGACCTAGGTGACTTTGGAGACAGCTCTGTCTGGTGACACTGAGTAAATCTTGAAGCTTTTATTTGAAAACTAAAACAAAGGTAATAAAAAGGGTAGAATATTGAATTTATCTTTACTCATTGAAATTAATTTGCTCTAACCAGATACAGAAAAATATATATATTTTCATGGTAAAGCTAATATGTATGGGTGAGGTTTTGCTTTTTTCTTTGTTGCTTGCAAGGGTCAAAGCCCTGCGTCAGCAAAGTATTTTTAAACGTTTGCTACTAAAGCAGACCTGCAAAGAACTTTGTTTTATTTTTATCAGTGTAAATCATAGCACATTAAATCAAGAATGCTTTTAAATCTGGATCAAGAACCAAAATTATCATGTGTTGAACTGGTGGTAATAATAATAAAAGCATTACACTATACCCACTTCACTCTACCTTTAATACATACTTTCAGCTGTGGATATAGATGAAGTGTTTAACAGAACAGAGCAGTAAGTGTAGTGGCTTATTTGAAACACTAAATCAGTCCTGTCAAGATTGTCATCTCAGTATTTAATCATCCTTTTAAATTTACTCCTTCTTTTCCAAAGGAGAGAAACTTGACTTCTAGTCTCTGCTTACCAGAAAGGCAGAGCGTTTTTTTACCCCTCTGGTGAATTGCCTTGCTGGGTTAGTGATTATCCAACTGGTGCATGCATGGAATGCTCTGTGTCTATCCTTGCTGATAGTCTGATTGCATGGAGTAGTAAGGACTTTCTAAAAGGAAGATTTACATTCAAACTACACTTGTGGAAAAATTACTTCTGGAGCATTTTACTGGCAAATATAACATTTTTTTAAATTAAAAAAAAAAAGGATTATGGCTATACTAGATTTAGCTGAAGTGCCTTGTGCAGTGGGATTGGCTGGTCACATTCTTTGGAACAAAATGGGAGTTTCTTTTGGATACTGCCTGCTCATAGCTAAAGTTTAGATTCTTTCCTTGTGGCTCATACTGGATTTCTGTCTTGCAGAGGACTACACCCTAATTCACTCTTACCTGAGCAGTTAGGAAATGGCTTCCAAAGTACCAGTATTGAAATAGGTAACTCTTAACAAACCACACAAATAACCAGTCTGCTAAGCTTCACATTTTATGGATATTGAAGCAGGTTAGATAACCAGAAATAGTTAGAGAGAGATAAAGATCAGGGCTAAGGAAAAAAATAATCCCATATTGCCAGCTAACTGGAGATAGAGATCTAAGAGATTACCCAGTTTGTGGGAGGAAGTTACAACTTGCTTCTTTGTACTTTCTCTGTTCTTTATCAGGAATATTCCTCAGATTCAATGTGGGACAAACTATCTCTCAAATTGCTTCCATCTGTAAACGTCTTTATAACCATTTAAATCCCTTTGATTTCATATTATTATTGACTCAGAAAGAAGTCAATGAGCAAAATCAATAAGCGATTTAATAAGGTAAGAATTGTCTTTGCTATGAAACCATGCCAGGCATGAGCAGCTGACTTGCTTAGTGGGTGTCTCATATTTGGACTCAGGCTAATCAGCTGGAAAAAAAATTTCTTTGAGCTCATCAGGTTTCTAAAAAAGTCTTCTCCTCACCACTGAAACTGCAGCATAATCAGACTGGCAGGTATAGGAGGGTCCTGGAAGAGAGCAGCAAGGGCCTGCAAGGTCTTGAGGTGCTTCAGCAGTTCTACAGAGCAGCAGCTGCAGTGGCAGTTTTTCTTCTGACCTCAGTCCTGGGTTGTCTGGTCTGTTCGCTTCAAACCTCTCAGGAGCTTAACTCTGCTGTGGTTTTTAATAACTCAGAAGAGACCAGCTATAAAAAGAACATCCATCACATTACTTCTCCCTCTGACTGCAACAAAATACTAATTCATAAATCAAATGTTTCTTTTTCTTTATGATAACATTACGCATTGTCCCAGTGGTGCTGTGTTTTCTGTCTCACTGTGTGTGGTGTGATAGCTTTTTTTTCTCATACAGTTTATTCACTTCAGGCCAAAACTCATTGAATTATTTTAGTCTGGTCAATTTGAATAAATTTCTTCGGGCCAACTTGCATTTTGTAAAAGGCCAGAGGATAACATTTTGGATTAGAGTCCCCAGTTGCCAACATATTTCATATTATTGTCCTGTGAAGAGAATATATAGAGGAGCATGCAGCTGTCCAGTTGCGAGCAGGATGCTATAATTCCTAAAGCAATCCTGGATGACCTGGGCAAGACACTGCTTCTGTGCTTCAGTTTCCCATCTGCAAAATGGAGATGTTTGGAGTGGGAAGTTAGACAATACATTTCTTTGATTGTTTTCTTTAGTACTACTTCACAGCAGACTGACCTGGTACAGAAAAGCAAGCCCCAGTTGTAGAAATAAGAACCTGTATCTGAGGAGGCTAAGAGAAGACCTGTTGGATTATTATCTGATTTAGATTATGTGCTGGCAACTTGTTTGTGCTCATGCTCACCAACCTGAATGCAAGAGTATGCCAAAAGATAAGGGCTCAGGTTGCACATCCAGGTGACAGCTGTGGCAGCTGTCACGCTCTTTCTCAAGCATTGCATTGCACTGACCTTGGCGACTACCTGGCAGCTGATCCCCAAACTGAGAGTTTATGGGATTGAAACAAATTTAAAGTTAAGTTTTCTCTAGTTGTCATAGGTTATATTCTCTGAAGCATAAGAAACATCAGGCAATAGGTTTTGTAATTTTGTCTTAAATAAGACCAATTTGGAAGACTTTTAGTTCATCAGTAGGTATGCAGCCTCCTGTACCTAGTAGCACCTAGGTGACTGTTCATCCTAGATAAATATAATTCTCATATCCCTCCCCATGAATATGAAGATTGGCCTGTTGGACACTTCCCAGGTGAAGTGAATACGAGAAAGGAGTTCTGTGAAGATAAAACTGCAGTACAAATTGTCAAATTCTTGCCTTCCTTGCTGTTTAGATCTGTAGCTGCTCTGAAGCATAGAGTGATTCTCTGTTTGCTCCTGCTATGAGCAAATGTTCTCGCTTCCTCTATTTGACAAGAATAAAAAATCAGGTAAATTTCTAGTGTTATTATTTCTGCTGCTGCTGTTGTTATTACTTTTATAACACACTACAGCATGTTAATGGCCATATCAATTGTTGGATGCCGTGCACACACAAAACAAAAATACAGTATTTATCCAAACTGCTTACAAGCTCTCTGGCTCCAATCTATCCAAGTCTGTCTGGCTTCAATCATTAGCAAAAAGAAAAGGGCTGAGAGGAGGATAGTTAGCTCTGGAAATCAAAATGCTTTTCCATGCTTGCTCCTAGGGCAGAGCAACTGCTTGCTGCCAAAAAGCTGAACCTTGCAAGTCCAGATGGGTTCCAAGTGCAACAGTTGATTTGCTCTGGACAAACCAGGCGTGATTGCTGTGGAAGGGGAAAAAAGTTTCTCTTTTAATTACTGACTCTGTGTGAGTGTGTGCTGCAAATATATGACTGCAAAGCTTCAGGTATCTTATATGAACCAGGGAATGGAAAATGTATATTTGGTACTTTGGTGCCTAGACATCCTTTCGATACTTTCCTCCATCTTTGTGTTCTCTCCTGTTCCCTCACTATTACTTGTCTTCTGTGACTGTCCTCTTGTGACTAAACCCTGCTTTTTCAGGGGAGAAGGAAATTAGCATCTAATTTGTGTTCCAGAGAACCAAACAAGAACAGAACTATGTTCAGGATAAGAAGCGAAGAATTACAGAAACAGATCAGAAATGTGGCTTATTTCATTATGGCTATTTAAGAAGCTATAGCCAGTTTTCTAGTTAATTGAGCTCATGGCTGTTTAGAATAACCTGGAGTTAGTGTTTTATCTTCTCATTCAATAGTTTTGCTAAAGGTTTATTGCTATTTTAAGCTTATTCCTGGAAATATAAATTCACAAAGTTCTTGTTTAAGTCCTCATAAACATATTTAAGTAGAGCCAATTTTATTTTTGCCTTATTGCTTTCTGTAAAGGATGCCTCTCTGATAGGAACATTATCCAGGGCACCTATCTCTAGGAGTTCACCTTAAAGTTACCACAACCAGTTTTTTCTCTATTCTCTGAAGATTCGCCTGTTACAATAAACTCTGTGTTGTTGCAATGTGACTCATCTTGGATCCTTTCCTTGCTAGATTTCCTTGTTTCTGTGAGGTCTCTTTTTTGCGTGACACTTTCAACATCAGTGATGATTCCAGCAGGGTCAGAGGTGAAAGAAGTTAGCAGTCTAAAGTTGTGATGTATAATTTTCCTTCTGCACCTTCAGGTTGGTGCAGAGACAATGGCAGCGCCCACATTTTCAAATGATGCAGTAGAGTTGTATGCAGAAAAGAACTCAAAAAATGACATTGAAGTTACTGTCTTCAATGACAGGATTGACACTAATACTTGTGAAGGCAAGTGAAGAATAAAAAGAAAACTATCAAGGCTGGGTTAGCCTGGGTTTAGTTTTATTTAGCAGCAGAACAACCGTAACAGAAAAGTAGAAGTAATGCAAGGAGCAAACAGGAAAAAAAAAAACCCAAAACAACAGAATAAAACAGGAAGGTGTGTGAGTAGATGAAACCAACCAGAATACTGCAGCAACGATAAAGGACTGGGCGAGAAGTCTATGAGAGAGGAGAAGAATATAAAAAGCTTGAAGCATGGGACAAACATTGCCCAGAAATATGGCAGTTTGGTGAGTTGGAGATGGGGTGAGGTGGCAGCAGCACCATGTACACACCCCAGGGAATGGAAAAGAGAAGCTGCCAATGGATAACTTCAGGGAGGCCAACAGCAGGCAATTATTTTGCCCAGGAGGCAGCAAAGGATCAGTCTATCTTCTTCAGTCTTTGAAGGCTATAAAGTACAGCTGTTGGAAGGCATTAAGATCATACAGAAGGTCTGGAAGAGCCCCAGATATCTGCAATGTCAGTTTTATCCGCATAGATAGTGGATGCGTGGTCCAGAGTTTTTATGTTGAGCTGATCGTTTTGCTTTTATGAGTGTATTTTAGGATTGGGTTGGAAATGCCTTTGTCTGAGCTCACTGCCATGCCATCAGAAATGTTCCTAATTCTTTTCCCAGGTCACTTGCACTGTGGAGACCAGAGACAAGATCCACACAGCCCAGCTGAGGAACGCAGTCCTGGAACGCTACCCCACAGCTGTCTGGACCGAGCGGTGATGGGCACAAGGGAAAGGGCCAAGGTCCTCTGACAAGTATTTTTCAGAGCCCGAATCTTGAGGCATTCAGAACAAATATTATCTTTCAAAGCTGAACAGTTAGCAAATAGTTTCAGGATATTTATTTCCTGCTCAAAATGTAGTGAATAGCCTTGGGAATAAAATTAAACACAAAACTTTAGCTTAGCTAAGAGAAACCTCTAGTCTCTGCTGGTGTTGGAATTCAATAATTCATTATCAACTGGCTGGCTGGATTTTGACTCGTATGTAGGATCCAGTGGCATTTTATAAATAAACAAGGAGAAGGCATTTTTCTTTGTATCTGAATATAGACCTCTCAAAGGTCTTTTGCTGTTGATACCTGTAGTTAAAGTAATACTGGACTTTGCCATACTACTAGCAGAGCAATGTTCCATTTCCAAGACAGAAGCAGTTTTCTATTTGCTGAATCTGCTTCAGGAGATACATGTGTGTGGGTGTGGGTTTGAGCATACTTCTGTTTTGATCTTTGTTATCATGTGAGGAAAACTTATGCTAATAAAATGTAATTTAAACAAAAACAAAAATAATCTTGGAAGATAAAAGCCAATATTGCTGGGTTGGTTTTTTTTGAGGAAAAATAATCATATTTATAAAGTAACGTTCAAAAATATGTTGCAGCAATTAAAACAAAACAAAATAAAACAAAACATTCTATGATTCTATGGTAATTAGACCTCATATGCATAACACAAATGTAATTCTTCCCTTTGCTTTTGGGGACTCAGTATAAAAAGTAGCATATAAAATGGCTCATGAATCTTTATAAAAAGGAGTATATCCATGCATGTGAATTTTGTAATTAGCATTCCATTGATCATCTTAGTCTGCCTAAAACAGTCTCTATCCATCTCACCTGACAGATTAAGTACACTGTTAAGAGTGAAATACGTTTAAAGACCACATGTTAATAGCCGAAGGCAGGGCTGGGAGAAGAGGAAGCCTAAGTCTTAGTCACATGGCTAATGCAATTAACAAAGAACACATTGACCTAAATACCATTTCCATCACTGAAGGCAGACACCAACTAGAAAGCAACGGAGTGGGATGGCAAGAAATGTAAGAGACATTCAGATCCACTTCTGAGTGCGCATACAACAGTTGCCTTTCCACCTGGACAAAATTAAATTAAAGGCCAGCTGCAACAGAGCCAATATTTACCATTTCACTTGGTGAAATTTGACCAGGATTGACCCAAACTTGGGGTGTAGGTATTTTAATAAGAGGTCTTTATCCTGCCTCTAGCATATCAAGTTGATAGTTAAGTACATAAAATGGATATTAAGTATTTAGCAGTGGCCTTGCTGAAAATCCAGCAAGGTCATGGGGAGCATCTCCACAGGCTGCATGGTGCCACTCCTTTGTTGTCATATTACAATTTATAAATTGAACTTCCATCTTTAGTCCTACCCTGCAGTGAGGCTTGCTAGTCCGTTTCCTTTCCTGGTTCTGCAGTGGGAAACTTCTGTCTCTAAAGCACAATCAAGAAGTCACAAGTGTGCGAAAGCTTTCCCTGCACACCTTTAACTATAGTCCATCTGTAGGCTAGGAGGGGCATCATCCAGAGAGTTAGAGCCACCTGAACAGAGGGTCCCTATGGAGTAAAAAGAATAAACTTCATATCCAACCTTATGCAGCTCTCTTCTGTGTTGTATCTACTACTTATGGATGTACAGCTATATCTGTAACTTAACTTGTGCCTGCAAGGTGGGATGAAGAGGGCAGCATTCTGGCTGTCCCTGCAGTATTTTTTTTTCTGGGAAATAGTCTGTTTGTTCCTTCTTATTGTAGCTCATGAAGGAACAGGAGTAGAGAAGAGACTCACAAATGGTGAACAAGTAATAGAAGTTCCCTGATTTGCTCTGGTTTTGAAAGGACCATGTTGGTTTGCACATGGAACTAAAGATTACTAATGCCCCAGTGGTTAGTTTCTTTCCCTTCTCGCCATCCAGAACAACGGGTATAGGGCTTGGTCTCCAGAACACCTGTAAATCGCAGCCTGTCAGACACAGCTCCTTTCTTCATGGTCAGAAGAGTTTAAGAAATCTGTAAAGAAATACGTAAGGGCAGACTACATATTGTGTACATGCTCCTTGCATTGAAACAAGCAATGAACCACATCATCAAAGGCCAGATCTGAGGATGTAAACTATTGTAAATAAGGGTCTAATTATCCCCTCATCTCTTTTTGCAAAATTCTCAGGAAATGTTGAGGATGTCTCGGGTATCAATGTGAGAAAAAAAATGAGACTTTATAACCAATGTTCTCAGTAGTGGCCAACAGTGTCTGCTGTCTGAGTCCTTACTGTCCTTTATTATCCTGGACCTTATTATTTTAGAACTTAGAGCATCAGCAACTTCTTCTCTAGTCAGTGGGAACTGCATTTAAAAAATCTTTACAAAACTGAGACAAGAGAGGTAGCAGAGCAACCAAAAGTCAATGCATTCAAAATCACTGTATGATTCTGAAATTGTTTTGAGGAGGAAAAAAAAAGAAAAAAATAAGAAAAAAAAGTGATGTGTAGAAGTTATATTAAATGTCAAACATGATATATACAATTTGGTTTCATTTTCATTATATTAAGTGTAAACTTAAACTGTAAATCACTCTTCAGTGGTAAACTCTTTACATGTGACTGTAATGATACCAGAGCTGATTTCCATTCTATATTGCTGTTATGTGAGTCCATTGACTTTAAAGCTAAGATTAAATACTTCCAAGGGGGGAAAAAATCAAAATTAAATATTTAAATGAATGTATGCAATTGGAAAGAATATTGAAATAGCTGTGCTGCTAACCTTTTTGCATTCTGAAATGTAATAGGACTATGGCATTTCAAAGATCTAATGTTTTTAAATGTTTCATTTAAAGAATTATTTTTATACAGTGTGTTCTTATATACCTTGAAAAAAATTACTTTAATGATTATGTGAAAACTTCACGAATTGTTAAATCAGCAAAATGTAAATCTAAGCATTTTATTTATTTGAAAAATAATTAAAATTATGCTATGCCACCTCAGCAATGGAAGACTTGTCATTCTCTCATATGGTACTGATAGCAGCCTTGCATTAAAAATTCAGAGTTAATTTTTTTTCCTTTCACTGTAATTAACATCAACATGAGATCCACATCATCTGTGCACACCAAGCTCTGGGCTGCTGGGGAGGTGCACACAGTTGGGTAGGGCTGCTGCTCTACCCATGGAGTGGGATGGCAGCCTGCAAGGCTGCTCGGCAGCGTGGCTGGGTGAGCATCAGTCCTGAATGGCTTGGAAAGAGATTCTTATTCATGTACTGGCCCAGGTGCCTTGCTTGTACCTGGCTGTGTTCCTAGGCAGCATGTAGAGTCTGCGTGCAGAGATAACCTGGGCTGGGCTTGTGTGGGTGAATTAAGTCCATGGTATCTGGTGAACTGGATCTCAGAGATACTCACCACAAACATTGTGAACTTTGGTAAACCAGTCCTTCAATTCCAGGGTGCAGCAGACTCCACCAGCTAAAATGCATGTTTAGCTCAGCATGCATGAGCTACTGAGCTTTGGGAGCAGTCCTATGAATACAAGATTTATCAGGGGAACAGCACAACTTCTTCCAAGGACTGATGCAAACAAGGCATATCTTTAATTGAAACAAAATCTCTTCCCACATTGATTCCTTAATTTCTTCTGCCAGCTCCTGGGAACTCTGGAGTAACAGCCAAGGTTCTGCCACTACATGTTTACATAGCATTAGGAAAAGTGCATCCCCCATGCAAGTGATGTGTCCTCACAGGTAGCACCTTGTCATCTAGCCTACTACTTTTGGAAGATTTAGAAAGATGTGTTCCTCCTTCCTATCCCAAAATGCAATAAATGTATTTGACTTGCTATATCAAACTTTTGTTAGATCCAGACCTAGGCATGTGTTTTAGTGATAGTAAAGGAAATTGCAAGACTCAAGGATTAGGCTATAATTCTTGCCAGTCATTTATTTGATGGCCTTGGTTCTCCTGTCACCTTCTTTGCTGTTCATTTCACTGTAAGCAGTCTGCCATTTACAGGATATTGAAGTTTGCAGAGTTTGTTTCTATAACAAACCTTTCCTTTCAGATGTTCCCAACTTTTTGCTGCATCCCAGT